ACGCACGCGCCCACACCCTGCCTTTTTCGTCACGTAGAATGTGTGCGTGTGCGACAATGCGCGCATTGAAAGCAACAGCAGGCTCAGCAACTGCAACGTAGCACCAGGCCACGTTGTCAAGCCAGGAAGTAAGTGTGGACATGTGCGTGTCTATGTCTGTGCATGTCTGTGCATGTGTGTGTGGTGCCTCCATGCAGCCAGCTCGTGCCTGCTGCGAACGCACCTTGTAGTTACACCTTCTCACAACGTGTCTGCATTTGCCTTGCTTCGTTCACCAACCCCCCCCCCCTTCACGGCGTTCAGCCATTCGTCAAGGCACCGTCACCGGCTCGGCTCCCTCGTTTATCTGAATCCAATCGAGCAACAGCCCCATCAGCCCCACCACCACCACCACCACTTGTGTCTTGCATGCGCCCATAATACACGCCGCAATGTAATTCGAAACAACACTTGCTCACACGTGTACATGTGTGCACGACTGTGACTGTTCTTAGCCTTGTTCTGCTATTGTTGTGTTGGTATTGTTTGCTGTTGCCATGTGGTGTCATGTCACATGAATCTACAGTGTGAATGCCGCAATAAATGTATGAAAGCCGCAATTCTTGGCAATTCACAACAACAACAACACCGGTTTCGACATCAAGGCGTGGTCATGTAAAACGAAGTGGGAACATGCACACACACAAACACGCGCGCGCGCTCACCCCCCCCCCCCCCGAGCCCCCGGGCACATCCACACGCATCGCACACGCCAAGCAACCAGCACGCACCCACTGCCAGCATCAGCCGCGAGTCACACTGATGCTGTGAGGAGGGCGGTGGCAGCGGCAATTCCAGCACGCACGGCCGCGCCAACGGTGCTGGCCCTGTTCTCCGCCGCACACGCGAGCATTGCCCCAGCCAACCTGGGAAGAAGGAAGTTGTGTGACGTGGTGGTGGGGGGGGGTGTTGCTACAGTGAGGCGGTGAGCACGACACAACACAGGCACACACACTCCGTGCAAGCAGATGGTGCACACATGCGTACGCAAGCAAGCAAGCCACAGGCACACCAACACAGGCACCTCCCGAAGCACGCACGTGTCGCCGGCTCCTGTCACGTTTTCGACGCGTGTGAGGGGCTTTGTTGCGTAATGTGAGTAGCGGGTCGGTGTTTCGCTCCATGTAGTTGATGGTGATGGCGCAACAACACCATCGGGACCAAGTGTCACTACCCACGTCACATTCGGGTAGCGGGGCAGCAGCTGGCGAAGGTTGTCGTCGTGAGCATGTGTGTATGTGTAGGTGTGCATGTGTGTATGTGTGTGTAGGTGTGCATGTGTGTATGTGTAGGTGTGCATGTGTGTATGTGTGTGCAAGTGTGTGTGTGTGTGTGTGTTTGTGAGCTGCAAGTAAGGATTGCAGCGAACATGCACTCTACTGCAACACAAGCAGTCCAACGAACCGACCAACACAATCCCCCTTCACACACTCACACGCGCACAAACGCACACACGCACCTCGTCTTGAACGATGTTGAGAACGGCCTGTGCATCGGCGGTGTTTGGATCCACACGCGTGTGTGCTGATTGATGAGGAAGTTCCCTGAGGATGTGCGCAAACTCATGCACGTCTGGTGACAGCACAACACGTGCTGATGAAGATGAAGCCGTGTGCGTGTGCGCGTGCATGTGCTGTCCCCACACATCGAGAGCGAGCACGCGCTGTGATTTGATGATGGAGGTTGGCTCAATCCACAACAGTGCTGGGCAGAAACATCACGATTGAAAATACCAGTGGATGCAGGCGTGAGAGAAAAGTGTGCAGCCCACGTTTGTGATTCACACGCACGCAATGCACACACAAAATACACACACACAACACATCCACACACACAACGCACGATTCATACAACACACAAGTCACTCGCGCAACAGCATGCATTACAGCACTGCCATCATCCCGCAGCACATTTCCGCTTCCGCTTCCGTTTGCATGTGTGTATGTGTGTGTGTGTGTGTGTGTGTGTACTTGATGGATCGGCGAGCGCGTGGAGCCGGTGCAGAAGACGTTCGTCGCAGTTGCAGTCCGCAAACCACACATCGGCGGCATCCAGCGCCTGCAACACGCGCGCATCGTCAAGCAGCGTTGCCTGCAGGCAATCGAGCGCGGTCATGTCGGCAATGGCAAACTTGAGGTTGCCGTCATTGTCGAGAATGGCGTTGTACACGGCAGTGCGAGCGTTGCCGACCTGTGGCAGAACAAGGTGCTGTGTTGACGCACGATAGACGCAGGGTGGCAATGGTTGGCGTTGGGAAGGGATGAGTTGAGTGTGGACATTTGAAGGGAAGTGATGGTGGATGAAAAGATGGACGGGACACAAGGAAAACAGAGCAAAGGTTAAATTGACAACGCAAGTGGCGAGATGGTGCGAGCAGCAAGGCATGGGTGCAAGTGGAATATCTACAGTGGACACTGATCAAGCAGAACGTAGCAGCTTCACTGCACATACACACACGCACACTAGTACTTGGGTACACGCATATTTATACGCACTCTGTGATATTCCGCTACAACCATAATTTTTTGCGCTCGCACCCAAATACAAGGACGCACTTGCCAGCCCCCACACATTCAAACAACACACAAATACGACAGCGGCAGCACCATGTTTCCTGCTGCGTGTGCGTCCTTTGCGATGACATCGCCGAGGAGATCAGCGCCGAGCGAGGTGACGAGGCCAACACCACCACGCGATGTACCACTGCCGCGTGCGCGCATGTGTTTGGCAGCGGCGGCAGCGACGTTTCGGGCAACGCCCCCACATGACAGCGCGACAGCGCCGTAGTTGGTGCTGCTGCTCACCACCCTGTTGTTGGTTGGGGTGTTGGAGTGGTGGTCGACAGTGCATGTGAGAGAAGGTATGGGTGTGACAAGCAAGTTGCGCGGATGGTAAAAACAGCAAGACGTTGGATAAAGAGCAAAGAAGGGGGGGGGCTTGAAGAAGAGGGTCATGGGAGCAAACGCTTCAGTTGTCGACAGAAGCGCTAGCGGCCATATCCACAGGCAAGACCAAAGACCGTGACACCACCAACACACCACGCATTAACGTACTCGTCCGAGTGAAACTTTGAGATGATGTCGCACACTGCGCCGCCAAATCCAACGACGGCCGGCGGTCGGGTGCCGCTGTTAAACCACACCGATGGTGGTGGTAAAATACAGGGTTGTGATGGCAAAATATGGATGGTGATGGCAAAATATGGAAGCGGAAAATACGGACAATTGCAAATGAGGAAAGTGGATAGTTGGGTAAGATGACAAGTGGAAGGTGGCGTTTGCAAATATGGAAAGTGAAAGGTGCGAAAAGCGGACAGTGATGATGGTAAAACCATGGAATGTGGAGAGTGGTGATGGTAAAATATGCAAGGCGGTGGCAAAATATGATGCTGAGTAGCAGTTGTGATGGTAAAATGTGGTGACATGACATGACATGATGGTGGTGTGTGAAGGCAAAGTGTGTTGTGGTGCCTGAAGGCAAAGTGTTGTGGTGCGTTGTTGGGACTGTGACACAGGCAGTTTCAAAGAACAAATTGAGGTGAAACAACGGAAAAGCCCACGAATATGTGTGCCAGTCCGCCCATCGCAGATGTTGCAGGAAGGGCACATCACACACGTGATATTGAACTCATACCGCTGTTGCTGGTCGTTGGCGCTTGCAGCTGAGGTGGTCGTGGTTGCGTAGCTTCGGCGCGTGTGTGTCAGCGCTGCGTGGGAGCGCGCAATGCGAGCGCCCGTCCGCGCGTTGTTCTTGATCTGTTGCACGAAGGTCGGAAAGATGCAAAGCAGTTCAGGAGAATATGGGTAGTTACATCAGAAACGCACGTGCACTCAGTCACACATACACACATGTGGCCGCACACATACTGCATGATACGCATACATACGCACATACATACACACGCACATACACACATACATACATACACAAGCACGCACACACACACCACAAAGCAAATGGCACGCATGCTCGTATGCGCAGGTCTTACGAGCTCAATGTTTGTGGCGAGCGACCGCCCCTGCGTTGCTTTGTTGACGAACTGCAGCAGAAACGGCGTTACCTCCTTCCCCATAACGTTTGCAGCCTGGTATACGCAGAAGCACACAAGCATGTATGCAAGTAACAGGGTGTTGTAGTGAATGCGTGTGTGTTCGTGGATTCATACACATGGCTGTGTTGGTTGTCACTGCAAGGCTCGATGCAGAGCCAATGTTCGGGGTTCGCCACCACCTTGGCCGCAGCGAGGCCGTCCTCGATGGCAGCGTCCACATCTGCTGGAGCAAGGGGAACGAGATGCAGCCATGAACACTCACGGACACATACTGCAAGTACATCCACGTCGTTCTCTTGCTCTTGGTATGATTGCCTTCTCCCGTCTCTGAGCGCACATACACACACAAACACAAGCACAAACACAAGCACAAACACAAACACAAGCACAAGCACAAACACAAGCACAAGCACAAACACAAACACAACACACACACGTGCACACATGCACACACAAACACAAACACACGCGCACGCGTGCCTTTGCCGAGGTCGTGTTGTGCTGGTACGGGAACGGCAAACACGAGGCCGCTGCTAACGCCCAGTGAGAGGTGCGAGTGCAGACATTTTGCTGCTTCTTCCTCGCTTGGCAACGAATATGGTGCCATGTGCGCGCTCCTTGGTGGTGTGAAGCGTTGATTGTCGACAGAAGCAACAGCACACAAACATGTTGGCACAGGTGAGTGCTGGCTAAGCACATTGCGCGCCCATGCGAGCACACACGCAATCGACCAACGTGCACTCACACACACGCACTCACTCACTCACTTTCACACACACTCACACACATACCCACACACTTTCACATACACACACTCTTTCACATACACACTCGCACACACACTCACTCACTCACACACACTCACTCACTCACTCACTCACTCACACACTCACTCACACACTCACTCACACACTCTCTCAGTTTCACGCAAACCCCCGCCCCCACCCCCCACACCATGCACACACGAACGCTGTGCAGGGCCCACTTTGCGGCGAAGAAGGCGGGAAACTCCCGCTGCCGTCCGATTGTGGCAACAAACACGCCCTGTGTCTCAAGCGCCTCGAGGGTGCGTCCAATGTCCAATATGCTCTTAACACCGGAGCAGACAACAGCAACGGGGGTGCGCCCGAGCTCGGTAATGTCCGCCGACACGTCCATGGTGACGTGGCCGTCACGATGCACACCGCCAAGCCCGCCCGTCACAAACACGGGAATGCGAGCCATGTGGGCGGCGATCATGGTGCCGGCGACGGTGGTGGCGCCGAGCTTGCCTTGCGACAGCACATACGCCATGTCACGGCGGGACGCTTTGGTCACCTTCCAGCGGACGTGCATGGCATCACGATACACAGCGTGTCACATCGTCAGTCAGTGTCGGCCCAAAACGACGCTCCATGGGACAAGCATGGATAAGCAATCACCGCCATTTGTATCCGTCGGAACTGTGCAAAGACAAACAGCTGCGCAAAGCATGCAACTCGCGCACACACACGCAGGTGGATAGGTACACACAGATGCACAGACACACAGGTGCCCCTCGCACACACACACAACCACACAAAGGCGCATACACGCACAATCTCTCTTTCTCTCTTTCTCTCTCTTCTCTGTCTCTCTCTCGCTATCTTCTGACTCAAAGGCTTTGTATGTGTGCACCTCTTTTGCGTTGGCGAGCAGGTGAATGTCGTCCTCGTTCATGCCAACACGAATGCGGCCGTTCATAATGCCAATTGTGGCAGGAATGCATCCCTCGTGCCGCACACACTCTTCAACAGCAAGTGCCGTCTCCACGTTGTCGGGGAATGGCTGAATGCCGGCATCATCGTCGAATACACGCACGCACGCACACACACACACACAACACACACACACACAAACACACACACACGCATGTACACACACACGCACGCACGCACGCATGTACACACACGCATAACACAAGGCAGTGTGAGCGTACGGCCTGTCTTGTGCACTTGGTCTTACTGAGCCAACTGCGCTTAAGGCAACGCAATGGAGGCAGCATCAAGAAGAACAGCAAACACATACGCACGCACCATGCCATGGCTGATGATGGTGGATTCCAGTGCCACGACGGGGCGCCCATCTTGTTGTGCCTGTAGCACCTCCTCGCTAACATCAAGCAAAGGGTGCTTCTGTCCGATCTTGGCTGCTGTGCTCAACAGGCGAACGCCCGGCTGCCTCTGGTGATGCAGGTGCGGCCGGAGGGGTGTTTGCTGTTTCTGCTGCTGCCGCTGATGGCTGTGGCAGCGGTGACATCCAGTCGCTGGGCTACCCGGAATTGTGGCGCTTGCAGCGACAGTACCAGCCACAGCAGTGCGCCATGTTAAGATGGCCTGTTGAACACAGCGGGCACTGCGGTGCTGCCCAGCCCACAACCGCTGCATCATCACCACCACCACCAAGCACAGAAGATCAGCAAGAAGACAAGCGAGCGAGGTGTGCACTGTTGCTCAGTCAGCGAAGTACTGCTGAAATCTGGTGTGAATCTTTGGTCATTTCTCTACAATCACCGCACGACACGACCACGATGAGCGCGAAGCGAACGGCAGCAGAGGCAGATGCAGACGCATCGATGAGTGTGGGTGGTGGTGGTGACAAAGGGCCTGCAAGCAGCAGTGGAAAGAATGCAGGAGACAAGAAAGCAGATATGGGCGCCGCTGATGCTGATCCAAACGTGCTCACCATCACCCCGTTGTACGTCGTTGCGCAAGCTGCTGGCTTGGTGCTGGTGTGCGGCTGCATGTGCCATTGCATGGGGTGTTAGTGCATGCAATTGTCACTGCACCACAACCTGCTGGTTACATCTGCATTGACTCTGTGTGTGTGTGTGTGCTTGTGTGCTTGTGTGGTTATGTTTTTTGTTCTTTGATGTGTTTGTGTGTGTGTGTGTGTGTGTGTGTGTGTGTGTGTGTGTGTGTGTGTCTGCAGGGGAGCTGGGCAAGAGGTCGGCCGGTCCTGTCACATTCTGAAGTTCAAGGGATTCACCATCATGGTAAGAGCACGCCAGAACTTGATATCCCACTCTCACCTCCACACCACTGGCGCTTTGTGCATTTTTGAATCCTCCTTCAAGAGCCTATACCCAGACCTGTGCTCATCACTGTATGTGCAACCTCCGCCTTGCTCACACCATGAACACACGCCCGCGCGTTTTTGTCATCAGTTGGATTGTGGCATCCACCCTGGCCTGAAAGGCAAGGCCAGCCTGCCCTTTGTGAGCCAGATTGAGCTCAACAAGATTGATCTTGTTCTCATCACTCACTTTCATCTGGACCACTGCGGCGCACTCCCCTGGCTCCTCGAGAGGGTGTGTGTCCGTGTGTGTCCGTGTGTGTCCGTGTGTCTGTCTGTCCGTCTGTGTCTGTCTGTCTGTACGTGCGTCTGTGTGTGTGTGTGTCTGTGTGTGTGTGTGCGTGTGTGTGTGTGTGTGTCTGTCTGTCTGTCTGTCTGTCTGTCTGTCTGTACGTGCGTCTGTCTGCATGTCTATGTGTCTGTGCGTGCGTCTGTCTGCATGTCTATGTGTCTGTGCGTGCGTCTGTGTGTCGTAGCCCTGCCGTGTGCCCCTAGCCCTTGTTCTTGACCCCCCACATGCTTGGCTTGATCACGTGCAGAGTACGTTCAGCGGGCGCGTGTTCATGACGCCGGCCACAAAGGCCATCTACCGCTGGATTCTCGAGGATTACGTGCGAGTCAGGTGCGTGACCAACACCACTGCCCTTTGTGTCGGCGTGCACCTGCATCCTTGTTTTGCTCGTGCGGTGCAGCAGCAAAGCGCCTCCGTGTGTGTGTGTGTGTGTGTGTGTGTGTGTGTGTGTGTGTGTGTGTGTGTGTGTGTGTGTGTGTGTGTGTGTGTGTGTGTTGGGTTTCTCACCGCTCATGTGTGTCACGCACGCGGTCTGTTCAACAGCAATATCTCCAACTTTGCAGAAATGTATTCACTCGAAGATGTGGAGAATTCACTGGCAAAGATTGAAACAATCTCATACCACCAGGTGTGTGTGTGTGTGTGTGTGTGTGTGTGTGTGTGTGTGTGTGGCGTAGCACGTGAACGTGCCGGTGTTGGTGATGAACAAGTTGATTCACTAATGCGTGCTGGCTTCCGTTTCTGCGTCGTGCTGTGTTTCGCGTCACATTCAACTGCATACACGCCATGTGAACCTCCAGGAAACAAACATGGACGGCGTTCGCTTCACACCGTATTGCGCGGGACACGTTCTCGGAGCGTGCATGTTCGACATTGAGATTGCAGGCGTGCGGGTACGTGCTGTGTACGCCTGTCTGCTGCTTGAGCCTGTACTTGTGTGTGTGTGTGTGTGTGTGTGTGTGTGTGTGTGTATGTGTGTGTGTGTGTGTGTGTGTGTATGTGTGTGTGTGTGTACTTGTGTGTGTGTGTGTGTGTGTGTGTGTGTGTGTGTGTGTGTGTATGTGTGTGCCTGCCTGTCTCCCAACGAACCACAACGTGTCGTGTCGCAACTTCAGTCGCCCTCGCTGGGATTGTGTGCCATGGAGCATTGCATCACGCCTGCTGCGATTTGACGTGTGCCTCACACACATTCACACACACGCGCGCGCGCGCATCCATTCACACACACATCCATACACACACGTGTGCACCCCTCCCGCCTATCCTATGGACGCCACCGCGCCCCTGCCCCACGGTGCAGCTGGTGTACACGGGCGATTTCAGCCGGGAGGAGGACCGACACCTCATGGCTGCCGAAGTTCCGCCCAACTCACCAGACATCCTCATCACAGAGTCCACGTTTGGTGTCCGCCAGCACGAGTCGCGCCAGACGCGTGAGCACCGCTTCACCAAGACGATACACGATGTTGTTGACCGCGGTGGCCGCTGCCTCATTCCCGTCTTTGCTCTCGGTCGCGCCCAGGAGCTCCTGCTCATCCTCGGTTCGTTGCCCATGCGGCTGCTGCTACTGCTGCTCGTCGCTGTGTGTGTTTGGTTATGTGTGTGTGTGTGTGTTTGTTTATGTGTGTGTGTGTGCGTTTACATGTGCTTGTGTTTCCTGTGTCTGCCTGTGTGTGTGTGTGTGTGTGTGTGTGTGTGCCTGTGCCTGTGCAGGACTCTCCTCCTTATTGTCCATTGCCCACCGCTGTGCGTCGCTGTATGAGATGCACTTCACATCCCTCACAGCGGATGCTCCATCGCTCGTGCATATGTGTGCTTGTGCGCGTGTGTGCAGATGACTATTGGCAGAACCACGACGAGCTGCACCGCGTTCCCATCTACTACGCGTCCGCGCTCGCCCGCCGCTGCATGGCTGTTTACAAGGTGCTGCCATGTGCCCGCTCCCCCTCCCCCTGTCTGTGGTTGCCGCTACCGTGCGAGTGTGCCGTGCAGGTTCTGTCTGTATTGGCTGGCATTCTGCTGTGTTTACATGTGTGGGCCCCGTCATCATGCTTGTGAAGTCACACACGTGCGCATTCTTTCGTCATTGTCCTCACATGCACAACCCACACGCGCGCGCGCACACACACCAAAATACACACCACAACATACACACCACACCATACACACGCCACACGCGACTGCCCATTGAATGCTATTCATGTGCTGCTGTGTCCTGCAGACGTATGTGAATGTCATGAAGGAGAGCATTCAGAAGACAATCTCCATCAACAACCCCTTCAACTTCCGGCACGTCTCCTACATCAGGGTCAGAAGCAATTAAATGCCTGTCGTGTTGTGTATGTGCGTGTGCGTATGTGTGTGTGTATGTGTGTATGTGTGTGCACTCGCGACCATTCTGACTTCCCATGCACCACCACCATCGCCGCCATTCTTCCCTCCTTCTCCCTCCTTCTCGTGTCCAGAATCTCCACCAGTTTGACGGCGAATACGGCGGCGGTGCGTCTCCCGCCCACACACACACACACACACACACACACACACACACACACACACACACACACACACACACACACACACACACACACATACGCGCGCACACATAGGCGCGCACAACTGCTGCTGCTTGTTGTTGGCTGTTTGTTGTTTGTTGTCGTCGCGTGCATTTCATGCTTGCGAGTATCCTGGCGCAATTGCCCTTCCGGTTTACTCCTTTGTGCTTGCCACACCACCACCGCCACCGTCACACACACACACACACACACACACACACACACACACACACACACACACACACACACACACACACACACCAATATGTCCGCGCCACAGGGCCGTGCGTGATGCTTGCCAGTCCCGGTATGCTGCAGAGTGGTCTCTCCCGCGAAATCTTCGAGCGGTGAGAGCAGCGTCTCATGTGTGTGCGCACGCTGTTACTGCTGCTGTTGCTGTTGTTGTTGTTGTTGTTGTTGCTGCTGCTGTTACCATTGCTCCTGTTTGGGCCTTCTGTATCGTTGATTGTGCCTACATGTTCGCGTGTGTGTTAACGTCTTCTTCGTCTGTGTGTGTGATTCTATCTCTGTGTGTTATCTCTCTGCCCATGGCTCTGTGGTTGCGTGTGTGCGTTGCAGGTGGGCTTCGAACAAGGCCAACTGTGTGCTGCTCGCTGGCTACGTTGTGAATGGCACCCTGGCAAAGGACTTGCTCAAGGCGCCCAAGAAGGTGCACTGTCCACAATGACGCTCCAACCACACACACACACACACACACGCGCGCGCGCGTGTTGCTTTCTGTTTGCGCCCGTGTCTTCATATGTGGTCATCGCGCTTGATGCCCCGTGTCTTCGCGCCCATCTACAATGCGCGCGCACGTGTGTGTGTGTGTGTGTGTGTGTGTGTGTGTGTGTGTGTGTGTGTGTGTGTGTGTGTGTGCGTGTGTGTGCGATTACGGGCAGACGAGGCTGTTGGCATACATTCACAGACGCTTGTTGCACCTCCACCTTGCACATGCACCGATACTGCAACCAGGTGACGAGCGAGGCCGGGCACAAGATTGATCGCGAGTGCGACATTGCGTACATCTCCTTCTCCGCACACGTCGACTACGCACAGAACAGAGATTTCATTCGCGCCCTCGACCCAACACACATTGTGCGCAAGTTTCGGGGAGGATAGATGGTGCAGGGGAGAAGACACAAGATACAGCGACTGTCTGTGTCTGTCTGTGTGTGTCTGTCTGTCTGTCTGTCTGGCTGTCTATCTGTGTGTGTGTGTGTGCTGGCCTCTTGTTGATCGAACTGTGAGCCAACGAGTACTCCGACTCACCCATATGCATTCACGCGTATCTGTTGGTGGCAGGTGCTCGTGCACGGAGAGAAGCACGAGATGGGGCGGTTCAAGATGCAGATCACAACAGACCTCGAGGCAGACCAGAAGACAGCCAGCGTCTTTGATCCGCGAAACGCAGAGACCGTTCTCCTCCACTATCGCGGAGAGAAAATGGCAAAGGTGTGCTGTGTGCGCGCGCGCGCGTGTGTGTGTGTGTGTGTGCGTGTGTGTGTGTGTGTGTGTGTGTGCGTGTGTGTGTGTGTGTCCGTTTGTGTGTGTGTCCGTTTGTGTGTGTCCGTTTGCCTGTCTGCCTGCCAGTCTGTCTGTCCGTCTGTCTGTGCGTCCGTCCGTCTGCCTGTGACGCGCGTACCCAATCTCTGCCTACCGATCCACACTTCTCTCCATCTGCGCACCTTGGTCCGCGCTGACGCTGTGACTCACATGCTTCCCTCTCCCCCTCCCCCGATTGTTGCACTGCAGGTGCTTGGGTCGCTGGCGCAGTCTGGTCCGGTGCAGGGCCGCCGCGTCTCCGGCATCCTCGTGGCGAAGGAGTTCAACTACATGGTTGTCGCTCCAACCGAGCTCGGCGGTGCGTGCACTCACGACTCGTCTCTGTTGTCATGAGGGACTGTGAGGCGGTGCAGGTGCACGTGTGCCTGTCTGCCTGCATGTGTGGATGTGTGCTTGTGCATGTGTCTGCCTGCATGTGTGGATGTGTGCTTGTGCATGTGTCTGGTTGCGTGTGTGTGTGTGTGTGTGTGGATGTGTGCTTGTGCATGTGTGTGTGTGTGTGTGTGTGTGTGTGCACGTGCAACTGCACATGGTGTTTACCCACGGCTTCCATCCCGTCATCCCATCCCCACCTCACCTCTCCCTCCTATTCCTTCATCTCCCTTTCTTCCCAACAGAGTACACGGAGCTTCGCACGACGACAATCCGCCAGCGACAGGCCGTGTCGTTCCCGTACACGCTGGAGCTTCTGCACAACATCCTCGCGCAGGTGCACGGCGCTGCCAGCGTCGCGTACGTCGAGACGGAGATGAACAGGATCGGCCATCGCCCACAGCGCACGCGCGCCCTGGAGGTGCGTGTGTGTGTGTGTCCGTGTTTTGTGTTTTGTGTTTGTGTTTTGTGTGTGTGTGTGTGTCCGTGTTTTTGGGTTTGTGTGTGTGTGTGTGTGTATGTGTGTGTGTGTGTG